GCGGTGGCTCCATATTCACTGGTGTGTGAAGGCCTTCTGCAGGTGTCCCCCTCCCCCTCCAGCCCGAGACCGAGCTCTGTTCCCTTTTCCTTTGGCAGTGACATGGGGGACCACTTCATCGTGCCCTGCGGTGCCTGCAGACAAGTGATGAGAGAGGTGACGGCTCGCCCGGGACCCCCGCGTTTCCTCACCCCGGCATCATCTCCTGACCCCCGGCATCTCCCTCTAAAACACCCAGGGGCGTTGTAACCCCCCCGTTCCCAGCCCCAGGGTCAGCTCCAGGCTCCTCAAGTTGCACAATCTACTGAGAAAGGGGTATTCCTCCTGTTATAAATTGGAACTACAACGGATTAAATCCAATTAAAATTTATTAATTACAGCAAGTAGAATATGAGCAAAGACAGCGCTGGGCGGCAGGGGAGTCTGCGCCTTCCCGTGGGAGCGGGTGCCCGCTGGTAATCCATTAACTCACCCTCCCCAGGAGTTTTATTCCTCCTGGGAGCTGCCGGGTGCAGAGTTCGGCCCCAGAGATGTCACCCCAAGCCTGAAAATGGGGATTGCCTGCAAAAGTTGAGCTCCCCATGGAGCTCGTCCTGCTCTCCCCTCCCTCCTCCCCGCAGGCACTCCAGCACCCACAGCCCGGTTTTGGGTGGTTAATGTTTAATGGGTCGCGGGGCTTGGCTCCAAAGCTGGATTTGGCAGGTTTGGAGGCACCGGGGCTCACCCTGAGGGGCAAAAAGGCAGGATCTGAAAAGCTGCCCCGCGACACATGCAGTAGAGGGGGATGTTCCCATGAACCCAGCCAAGAAAATGGATTATTTGAGTAATTTGAGGAAGAAACACAGGTTTTGCATCGGGCACTTCTCCCCCTTCTTCTCCTCCAGTTTGGCACAGACTGGAACATCTACTTGACCAAAACGGACGGCACCTACGTCGTCAAGACGCTGGAGGAGCTGCTGCCGCTCTCCTTCGGCCCCGAGGACCTGAAGAAGGTGTGAGCAGGGTGGCCACTGCCGGCCTTTGCCCTTCGGCAGCAGGGGAGATGGTTTTCCCCAACTCCCTGGTGTGTAAGCGGCTTTTTGGGGATGATGCAATGGGAAATGTGTTTATAGCGCTGTTACCCGTTCCTCTCGCTCATCTTCTGATTCAGCGCTGATTCGCAGATGCTGGCCCCACCTCGCCCTGGGAAAATGGCAACATGGAATTATACAAATTCCCTGTTGGTAGGAAAAAAGTGTCCGGATATGGCTGCAGGCGAGGGGGAAGTTCACAGGCGGAGAAGGGTTAGGTGGCACGGCTCAAGCTTCAGCTTGTTGGTTCAGAAACCACACCCAAACAATGGGAAGTCATCCGGAGCATCCCGCGCCAGTTCAGATCAGGCCATTTGCTGGAACTGGACCATTACTGTGCCGAGCGTGTCCTTTGCTCGCTTCTCTCCGGCTTGTTTGCTTTTATTCTGTGTGTGGGGGATGAAGAGGGAGAGGAGTTTTTGAGGGTTGCTGGAGGGTTTTCTGCCTCCGGAGTAATGCTGTTTGCTGACTGTAATATGAATTTAATTATGCACAATGACAAATGAATGGGTTCCGTTTCCCAGACAGCGCTGGGCTGGGAGTTACTGCCTATGCCCAGGTGAAATAAAAGCACTCCCAGTTTATATCTCCTGCAGTCGCAGAAAAAGAGGAATCACAGGGAATGGGAAGCGGGGCTGCGTGTGCTGGATGTGACCAGGATGCTGCGTGGCCCATAGCTTGGCCAGGTCAGTGCTGCCCAGGCAGCCAGCACCCTCCTGGCCGTGCCCAGGCTGTGCCCACGACAGGGCTGTGCCCCATGCCCTGCTGGGCACCAGTCTGTGCCCTGCTGAGCACCGGGCTGTGCTGTGTGCGTGCACAAGCCATGCCCAGGCTAGTGCTGTGCTCCGGGCTGTGCCTGCTCCATGCCCTGGCATGCACAAGGCACACCCAGCTGTGTCCTGCTCTGTGCCCTACCCCTGTGCAGGGCTGTACCCTGCCTGCACTCTG